CTCAGCTCCGCCAGATGCTTACCGGACAGACAATGCCCCCTCAATATGCGGCGCGTCACAGCTTCGTACCAAAGCCAGATCGCGTACGTCAGCATTGGAACAACTTCAGCAGTGTCCCTCCAATAAGTAGCTTCAGAACGTTGTATTTTCGCAATTGCTTGTTTGGAATATAGCTGTTGTGTTCCCTTCTATGAGTCTTTTCTCCGGCACTGGGCACTGGAGCGGGGTCACCAGCAGATGCAGCAGATTGGCGAATCAGCAGATATAACAAAATATACCCATATATATTGGAGTTAAATAGAGGTAACAAAAGAGTTACTTTTGCTAGCATTGTGTCGTCCCTAATGAGGCCAAACGGGATTTCCGGGCAATTGAACAAAGTGAATACCCCTAGTCGCTGAAGGCCTTAAATTCTTGTCTTTACTATTGGATCACACGAAAACCAAAATTTGGAAATTGATTACATGGGTTCTAATCGCTATCTCAAGTGCCAAATCTTAACGTTGCCATCACGTGCTTGTCATAAGGGGAACTCAGACCCGAAACGTTACAAACATCCACCGCAGTTAGGGAAGCTAATCGCGCTGAGACCTGGTTACTCGGGGTAGAGAAGACTTACCGGAGGCAATCGTGTCATGCTGCACTTATTGTGAGACCTTGAGCGTAACCAGAAATTGGCGCACTTGAAAAAACCGTAAAAATGCACGGTCCTGGATACAAAAAACTCAATAATGTTCCCTCGTACTAGGTCGAATTCGATGTTACTAGCGTCTATGTGTTTGACACTGTGATCCATATCACCGAATAAACAGTCCAGAAATTAATAGATATTTAGCAACAAAACCGAAAGGCAACAAAGCAAAACTTTACACTGTACATTATGGGACCCAAATATAGTAGGGATCCCGACCAGCACAATTCGCTAGTCATCGGGAAAGAAGACTGTCCAAAGCTTGCGAAACCGATTGAACACGGTCCCGTTTCCTTTTCCTCTTTTGTTTACTAAATACTTCAGAACTTCGAGTGGAATCGCCTTGTTTTTTGTTGGCTCTCGGTGTGCTCGTTTCCCATAACTCGATTTCAGGGGGTCGATTGAGAAAGGTGAAGCATTTGGAAGGTCCCGATTTGGAAAAACTCTGAGAGGCTGAATTTACTGTATTAAATTTGTCTGAAAAAGTCCTCAATTCTTTGTTTTTCCGGTTGTTTTTGTTGCAAAAAGATGCGTTTTCCATATGAAGTCTTCTAGTTGGCAAATCCATCTTCTTTCGCTTACGCGGTACAGTGGATGTATTTTCACAGTCGGCGTGGTGTGTCTGCATAAGTGTCGCCGTGGAGTTCCGCATTTCATCGTTCCAATTACTCTTGCTGAACGACCCCTTGCGAATATTAGATGATTTGGAGGCAGAATCCTGGGTTCTGGAAGAGAGTTGAACAATGCAAAAACAGAATGACAGCCGCATCTTTCCACTTCGGTCTACGTGCATGGTTCACCTAATCAGTCAATCGGATAATGGAACAAACCGAGACAACAAGGGTTCCACAATACCAGAGCCACACGATGGGAGAATTCATATAAAGCGCCTGCACGTAGTTATTCAGATTACCTATCTTAAGTACCTGTTGAGTGAGAGCATGGGCTTCTGTTCTGAAGCAACAAAGATATGGGGGGACATAATATACACAGTTGACAGAACTTCGGAAATGAAACTTGGGTAAAAGTAGAAACTACAGTATAGTAATAGGGAAGCATCACCATAAGAGGTGTGAAAGCTGTGATGACGAAGGTGAAAGAAGAAATTGATAGCCGACTGTATGTCTAAGTGGAAATGACCACCCATTGCCGCGTCAACTTAATTACCACCATCGCTACTGAGCAACGGAGCCCTAATGCCACACAACAGCGCCAATTTACTTAAGAAAAAACCTTATATGTAAAGAGCGAAACTAGCAGAAGGAAACGGTCTAATGCTGGCTTACTACAAATATCCGGGATATTTACACATCCAACTGAATAGAAACTGAAAGCATTAGCTCCAAGCTACCAAGTCGGCGCCATATTTTTCCGCGTCTTCAGCCAACTATAGGGATGGCTTTGTTAACCACATTCCAAAAGGTAGGTCACAAACATGGGGCCCAGACTTTTGATAGTATCCTCCACTCTCTTCAACTCTTCTGTGGCCATGGCTCGAGACGTTCAAGAGGCCAAACTCTCCGCATGCAGAAGCGAATCGAATTACAGTAAGCAAGCAGGCCATATGTAATCTATCTCTTGGATCATACTATTTTGAATTCGGCATGAGGACAGGTGACACCTCAGCGAGAAAAGTACACGAACAGTCTGCTGAGGTCTGTAGACCTGTCAGAAACCTTGAGGTAAGATGCTTGCCTCATCACGGAACACTGTGTTCAACTCATCGGGAATTTATTGAACAATGGTGATTTCGAGACATCGATGATCAAGTGCGTCTTATAGATGCCAGCAGAGGCCCGTAATCATAGCTTCCACACTGTATACTGATATACATAGCCTTAAAACTGCGTTCGAAGTAACCATAAGAACGGCTTGCAGCGTTCAATGATGACGATCGCATACTTAGGGCGACTTTGCTCACGGACGAACTGTGGACTGAGGGCAGACCAGACAATTTGGATCGTTGATAGCAATCCAAAAGAGAACAACGAGTCATTGGCGCTACGAAACGCTGTCGCAACCGTCCAGACGGCCCAAAGCAAACCAAAGAACCGAGAGGATCTACCAAAGCGGCATAGCGAAATCGATGAGGTTAAAGTGGTTCCTATTTTTCCTACTTGTAGATAACTAGTAGGCAGAGTTAATAACGAATACTGTGATGCAGACATGACGGTCTGACAGATCGATACCCCAAAGACGGGACTCGTTTACAGTTGCTTCATAAGGGTATAAGTGGCAGGTTGCAGTGAACTTGGTTTCTTTCCATCGACCCTGGCTTCTTTGGAATAAGTTCAGCAGATATGCGAGAAACAAGTCTGAAGCTCGACGCATAAATGAAGACTGAATTATGCGTTATCGTCAGTGAGATTTCGATGAAAAGAAACCCCTCGCATAATGGTTCGCCTATTTATTGTTTCCAGCAATCAGGTCAGCCACGTTGGGTTAAGCGGGAAACTCTAAAAGTCAAACTTTTCAGATTGAGGTTTACCAAAAACACGCCAACTAAATCGTGGGGTTATGCCAGGTTCCAAACACCAGGTTAGATACTGTTCATCCAAATAGGATCCCAAAGTTCACACCGACTCAAGACAAAGTGACCAACAGATGGCAAACCCAAGTTAACCCAAGTGACGGTTTCGAAGAGTTTACGTTAACGGCAAACTACATTCGGTGCATAAGTACAAAACGGAATCAGTGTCAAGGCTCTTGCTGGGTATTTTAACTTGCTGTTCTTTGAAAGTTGTCCACCACATCTGCGTTACATCCTGGTTAATCTGATTAGGAAGATCGCAAAGCCCACCTCATCGGACCACCTCATCGCACGTTAAAACATCCTTCATTTGTTCTTTGAAAGTTGTCCACCACATCTGTGTTACGTCCTGGTTACTCTGATTAGTAAGATCGCAAAGCCCACCTCATCGGACCAGTGGAATCGCAAGTTAAAACATCCTTCACTCCAGTTTGCATTTCTGATCAATACCGTTGGTTTGTGATTACCTAGCTGCCACCTACTTGCTTCGGTGCTCCCCAGTTTGGCATTTATTGGCATTCCGAATGCTTTTGATTCGGTTTCGCATGACAATCGCCAGATCCGCCGCGGTGTTTGGACCGCTGTTAGCCCTAATCCGGTACATCGCTTGGTCCCATAAGAATCCTGCGGCAATTTTCCATCATTAAGAGGTTAACTTCAACGGAGATGGGCATCAGTATTGCACACAATGGTGGTGGATAAAGGTGTTGGATTGTCAACGCCAGTCTGATTACATCTTAGTAGATGATTCTGCCTTTGCTGATGACTGTGAAGAAAGTCATACTCGCCTTAAGGGTTAAGGGGAGTGCACATTTCACGAAACACAGAACGTTTTGAACCTGTGACCTTCCAGCCGGTGGTCGATCGTTTGGTCACAGTTTGATGAGCTCCCATAGCGTCATTCACCCTGGAATAACGATAACTACATCACGTGATCACGTAATAATTGGCTCCTCGACTGAAGACTACTCAACCTGCTGAGGTCGAGTAGGAACTGATCAGTTTGCAAACCTGACAACAGCTGCTGAAAAAGCTTGAGGTGACGCATGCCCCGTTGAATCTGCAGCAACTAATAGAAAGTAAGGGGGATAATACCCAATATCCAAGCATTCGCCGACCAAGAACATTGTAACATCCTCAAAAGGTGAACATTCTGCGATCTTGTTGTATCACGCATGACGATCGATGTGCTCGCCACATTCACATTGCAAGGGCGCGGTCGGAAAACGTTTTTTTGGTCTGTGATACATCGTCTGAGGAGCTGACAGCACCTACTTCGACATCTTTCATCGCTGTTCAGGAGAGTTGCACTACAGTGATGGGTGTGGGTAGCCTCGAACGGGTGCGGAATGAAAATGAGCAGAAGTATAATGCTGACGTGTGGTGCCACAGGTGTCATCTATTGCGATTAATTGATTTTTGGGTTCACGAGCCGATGATCATTCCACATGAATGAGGAGGGAGAGTGGGGGAGCACCGGTGAGCGAAAAGCTGTGAAAGTGAATGGTACTTTCGGATTTCCCAAATCGAAAAAGGGGATCTGATCATAGTAACCCACCTTGACCCTTGACTCAAAAGCCTGACCAGGAAGAAGTGGGATGATGTAGGATTTTGTTTGGGGACCCTGAACCCAGCGTCCGAATCAAAAGTTTGAACCGCGAGGCAGAAGTCATTAGGGTCTCCTTAGAGACCCTGCTTAGAGCCACTGACTCAATAGTTCGACCCACTTGGCTGCAGGGACCGGCCTGGCCCGAGGACGCACGGAGCAAGGCATTATCATCTCGCTCCTGATGTGGCCGCGCACAGCAGGTGCTTTTTGAGCAGCGCCAGATTATTCGATATCTCGACAGCATTGAATAATGCAGCGGCTGTAACGGTAAACCGATCGGAGTGCATGGTTTTGGGGTCGGAACTCCTCTAATCCGTCATTCCTCGGGGGAAGACAGAATCGCTGCTTCCAAAGATATGAACATACTGGTCACCTCACTACCTTCACATTCCTGTCGCAGAGGACAGTAAAACTTTGCCTGCAGACCGCAGCATGGGTATTTGCCGTTCTTCGTCGGGCTGATCACCTTTAGCCTTCCTGGTATGGATGAACCTTGGAGAACTGAGTTACGGCTGGTATAACGCGTAGGACCACTGCAGCACTGAAGTTCTACCACAGTGACAAGGTGACAGCTTTAGGCCGCACTGTCAGTGATGCTAGTGCGTAGAAACTATCACCTCCAGTGCGTAGTTATCCAGTTTCCGAACTAACTAAACATGCCATCGCCTTCAATGCTCGACTGTATCTCCCACGATGTTCCACTTTTTGGTGATCAAAACTGTGGCAGATGGAACCAGTTTGCCTATCGCACGCGGTTTACAGCCGACGAGTCGGACTTGGACTTCCCGACACTTATGCGAGGCACATGGCATTGAGTGTTCATTGCTGCCTGATCCTGTAGGACGGACACCTTGTACCCATTGAGTATTTTTTTGTGTTAGTGTGTTCTGTGCCTTGAAGAGCACTGAGCATTCCTGTGGAGTAGTTTATTAACAGACACGAACTAAGCGGTTACAAGCCATTAGACACCTTCCATCAAATGCGAGGGGAGACCTTAGGCACCAGAGCATAGACTACTCACATGCTTCACCATCACGACCTTCCATCAAATGCGAGGGGAGACCTTGGGCACCAGAGCACAGACTACTCACATGCTTCAGCAGTAGTATACAGCATCATGCAAGTAGTATAATCTTGGTTGAAGTTTTATGAACTTCCAGTTCCGATTCATACTATGCATCCACAGGTACACGAAAATAGTCCCTACTCAGAAGAGTACCACTAAACTCAAAAAAGGATCTAAAACATCAGGGTAGATATGTTTCTTCGCAATATGCGTCTTACACAGTTGTTCGTGCTGACCTGCTCCACGTAACATTAGTTACGTACTGTACATGATTGCATGGACTTGGGGCGATCACTGCCTCGCTAAGCACCATGACCGCAAAGTAGGATGGATAAACCACGTAGCTACTTGGATATAACTGCCAGGAACTCTCCCAAAAATCAGTGAGAAATCGTACACACTAAATCAGGTCGATAACTGTTACGCTAAGTTGCTTATGGAATCAAAGGGATATGACTAAGCATCTTACGACATACGTACGACATCCTACGACATCCTACAACATACGTTTTTTTAAATAAACAACCAATGAAGGAGGGAATCTATCATTCCGAGGAATATTAACATAAAAAGAGGATGCTCCCGGTTGGTACGCTTCTCATCATCATCATCATCATCATCGACAGCATGACATCAGTGTTCATCACCGATGCTTCCAGCAAAGCGCCACAGGCACGAAATTGAAGATGAAAGACATTTAACTGGGGGAGTGTGAACCATGCAGTAGAAGAGGCACATGACGAAAACGAGAGGAAGGCAAGTCACACAAGTCAAACAGCGCAAAAAAGTGGCACGTTTGGAAAGTAATGAAACAAACAACCGAAAGATATAGATTTAAAATCAAACACAATTAATCACATCGCGAAAACCAGCGCGTGGTTGATCATTCAGGGGAAAGCCATTTCCTTCCAACACCATGCAGGAAGTTGGAATGTTGAGAAAAAATCGCCTTGTACCGTGTAAAGACCACATGATGGAGGATGCACTAGAAATTTTGACTAAGCGCGAATGACCACCACTTTATGCATAACCCCTTCGACTAAGCTAAGCACTAGAGCAGTGGACGTCAGAATACCAGTTACGTCTACCGTATTTTAAGTAGCGATAAACAGAGAAAAATACGGAAACATGTATGTCTTGTTTTTCCGTTGTATTGGCAGTTAAGCTCGGATCAAAAAGTGGAAAATGAAGCAACACAATAATGAGACTCCGCCCGACCAATTTAGCCATAAAAGCTAATGATTAACCCCCACCTCATCGCCGTGACCTATGGCCCGTTCTCATTTACACTGTGCCAGTGACATATGAGAGATGCGACACCAAATTCTTATCGAACACACACGAATAAGGCACCCGCTGAGTCAAATCCGCACGAAAAGTCAGGCATTTGTTATTTATCCAGGCATACGCGCAGGAAAACAGGTACCTCGAAAAATCTTTTCCTTTTTTCCGTTCAAAATCAAACAACGGCGATTCGGTGTGAGGAGAGCATACTGGCGAGCATCGATCCTCATTAATCCTTCCAGATGCCGTATGTTCGTTTATCCATACAAACGGGGAAAACGACGGAGCACTTTTAGATTTCCGGAGTTGGTTACTGAAACCTGCATGTCCTCCTTGTCGAGCATTCTTCGGCCGTTTCTTTCCCCTTGAGCTGAGTGGAAGAAATGTTGCTTCAATATCAACTGACTGACGGCGGGATTTGATTCGATCGAGACTCGACTGGAAAGTCGGTGTACGATCTTTTTGGTCTGAAATGTAAACAAAAAACGCACAATAATGTAAAGAAAGTGAACGAACGACAATAATCAATTCGTCCGCGGATTGAGTATAAATCACGCATTGATCGAATAATCCGGAAGCAGATCATGAAGTACACACAGCATACTGGGGAGGACTAGAGTAAATGGTCCTCGAGAAAAATCTTTTTATACATGACTAAAATGTAGTGTTTGGAGGAGCATGTCACGCGTAAAGTTGGATGAGACCGACATGTTCTCTTGAGGGAGCCGCAGAACAGTAAATCAAAATTATGGAACTCAACTAAAGATTTGTATACATTCCTAAGAAAGAGGCTCAAGGAAACTACCTGTGTCACAATCCGACATGGATTCGGTGAAACAAGTGGACCAAACCCCACCATTCGTGAGTATTTACACACTTTGCGTCCACGTCATAATCAATTGACTCACATCGCTTTACAACAGTTATCAAATGAAAAAAATAATGGTCCAAAAGTCGGAAAGGTTTTCGATCCAACGAAGCCGACTTCGTGTTCCGCAAACAAACAAAAGTCTGTATTGTAGCATGGTAAAAATACACTTTAAAATAGAGTAGGATGTCTCACTGAGGTCAGGTAGTCGTGGGAAATGTTCGCGCTATTCTGTTATCTCTATACGTAGATCCAAACCTGTTGCTCATGAGCTCCGATATCATATTTGGGTTGTCTAACTCCCTCTGATTAGGAATACATTTCGCTGACATGCGGTCTTTCTAGCTTAAACAGCGACTGGAGGGTATGAACGCAATGATTGGTATTACATCCACTGAAAAGTATCTAGGCTACAAATGGGAGTAAATTTCCGACTGCTTCAGGATGGACGGAAAACCAGAAGATACATGGAGGGAGCATGATTGAAAGGCGAGTTTTTGCATACAATTTTTCATTGCATGAGAGCTGTACCATTTTTGAGACACTTTAACCCGGACAGAAGGACGGTAACTTATCCGGGCAAGAGCTTTTGGCTCTAAACTCACATTAATGGTAAAGATGATTGGATTTTTCGCCTGTTTCAAGAACAAATCCGACACAATGAATTGGGCAATGTAAGGATTGAAAACAGACATTATTATTGAATAAGGGAGCGGGAACTGTTCGTCCACCAAGAGGTATGCAAGACGCACAGGGAGGTCTTATGGCACATTCTACTTCTAGTGAACCACAAACATTACCAATGAAAGAGTTGAAGTACCCACCAGAAGGAACCGTTTCTTTTGCCTTTGACACTTCCCTATCCATGACCATATCGAAGAGGCGTTCATTAACTTTCATCTCCAAAGTGTTCAGAGAGGATTTTTCGTGTAAAGATTCCATATTCGTTGTTGGGTCGTCCACCTGATCAGGACCCAACTTCCGTCTCTTCTTTCGTTTCTGCCTTTTGTCGGCAACCCGAATCTCACCACACGGAACCTCAGACTTTCCTTTAGCACGTAGTGCCTTCTTTTTGAAAATGTTTTTCTTATCATAGACCAAAACTCGGCGACGGGGTGAAGGGCCGATGAAATTAGAACGGAAAGGTCGACACCGGCATTGCTATGCGAGAAAAATGGGAGATGATTAACCAGTGCATTTAGTGAATTCAGTTTCGGCCCCGAAACCCAAAATTTTCTCAAGTAACTGACTAACTGACTCAGCCTGGCCGGAACAAAAGATGGGTTTGATGGCTAAAACGATTAGGGATTCTCCTTGATAAATCCGCTTAATTTGGAAGATGTTCTGAATGCCACGAGTACTAGCGACCACCCTACTTCTGTTCGGTTCCAACTGGTCGCCATGCTATCATATTATAGTATTTTCTCTTTATAGTTATGAATGTGTCCATTCAAAATGAAAGGAATTTTAGGCTGTCTGTCAATAGCCACTAATGAAATATGAATACTCACCCAATATTACGGTCTCTAAACGAATAACTGAACACTAGTGAATGCTATGCATAGCTATGGAGTCGTGCTAGAGAAGGCCTCGTTATAGTGCTGCTAGATTGAAAGTATACTCCAGCAGCATTGGCAATCGTTATACCCATATAGTGTACCTTCGGCAACTGCGCCCCAAAAAGAAATAGAGAACGTTAGAGAACGAGAAAATATGGATACCTGAGGAGATCCGGAGAAACTAACAGAAGAGTGAGTGGACAGTAAGGCGGTGATAATCATCATTATTGTCTTCAACCTCGTGCGTGAGTTGCAAGAATCCAAATAGAAATAGGTAGCTGGAGCATGAACAAGTACAACTTTTCTACCGATTTGCCTGAGTTCGCAAATCGAAACAAGATGACATGGAAGGGTAGACTTTGAATCCGGAGAAAGGTGGTAGAGGTGTGCAGTGACACACACACACATCAACGGCCTCAGTGGGATGCCTCCAGTTAGCATCCACAGAACAACGAGCACCGGACAGAGTTTATAAGATTTAACACACGGTACGGAAGGGAATATAAGGGAGCTCAGCAACAGAGAGCTTACGTTGTTTTCTGGGGAATGGTCACCAACCCACTTATGAAGAGTTTATCTAATCCATCACTTCATTTTCCTGATTTGAGTTGTCAGCTTTTTCACAAGGAAAAACCACAATCTATGGTAAATAGCCAACTCAGTGACCTACTACCGTTGCGTTCTGTTTGGACTGTGCACTGAAAGCTTCCGAATACGTGCGCTCACCGCATGTAAACTAATGTTAGATATAAATGTAAAGCATTCGCCCATCAGCCTTACTGTACGCTAACTCACACGCAAAACTGGGTTTCTCACGCAAGCTCTTGGACTCAATCATCTAACAAATAAACACGGGTATAATAGTTATACAGGGATCAAACAGTTATACATATCTCGTTCCTCCAGACTGCACAGCTGGATAGCGGGTACCTCAAATACACCTGACGGATAAACCTATGAAAGCGGGAAGACAAGCCGTCGCATCGCAACACGGCCCAGTCATCCCTGAGGGCTGATTCCACTGGAAAGAATGCTGGCGAAAGGGAGGATCGTGTTAATTTCTCTCTGCAACACACGGTGCCAATAGTCGTCTTCTTTCGAACTGAAATTTTTTTCCCGGAAAAGGTTTTGAAGGCCTCGCTGATCATAAAACGCCAATAAGTCTGAACCTAAGCGGGAATGTCAGGTGTCACGTGTCACCCGTGTCAGGTGAGCGGGGCATATGGTGTCCGATTGTGAATTCCGCGGAATTCCGCACCGATACCTCTTTACCGCTCGTATTAAGCACTGCTGCGACGGAGAAGCTTATCCCGCATAAGATTGGTTAAAAGATAGGACCACTTGCCGGTTCAGCGTCAAGGCGAGTTCTGATTGGCCGAGAGTCTGGACCCAACAGCCAATCGTGTTCCAGTATCTACCAAATGCCAGTTACCAGTCCAGAAGGCGTCAGAATTTCCAGTGTTGTTGCCGCATATACTTAATAGACAACGCGCTTTACATGTGTTTTCGCAATGACTTTTGGTGCCAAAACGCGTCATGCACCTTTGGCGGTTGTTTTAACATGAAAGCTAGCTCGGAGGGTTCGGACCGAGAACAAAACTAAAGAAATGTTATTATACCGACAGCAATACTTCTAAAAGATGTTCCTACACGCTGTGCGGACAGCCCACAAGTTTTAATCTTGATGTTTTTCTCGGGAACGACTACTAATCGGCTGACTGCGCCTGCGATCGAATCAGTGGGAAGCAACGGGTCGGATACGCCAACGTCAATGAGACAAGGCATGTGAAAACATACCAGAGATGAGGTGTAAGGTTGAGTAACCGACTGGGTAATCAGTTCGAAGTAGAGCACATGTAGGTCCGGCATACAATTTAAACATACTTCGGAGAGAAAATAGTACCAACAACCTATTGACTATCTATCAACCATCTACTATTTCTGAAGCAGTTCTTACACACAAAAACAAGCAATGGAAAGGTCTAGTCTAGGAATAAACTCACTTCGATCGTATGCCCCCGACGGCCACAGTTGCAACACCCTCGATGACTCAGCATTTTTACCGGGATTGGAACTGGTTTTCCGACACTTGTCTGTAGTAGAAAAGACAATTAGAACATCATGCCGTTATAACGCTATTGAATGTTCCGTATTTTTCAGGGAAAGTTGACATTGCTGTGGACCAAGATTGCACAAAAATGCTAGTAATTACCCTGCGCGTGGTTAACTTTTTTTTTAAACAAACATGAGACCTCACCGAAGACGACGGTTTCCACCTGATCTGACTGATCAACTGACCCATGCACTTACGATACACTTGGGAAGAAGAATTGAACACCCATCAGGAGTACTAGCCTGGCCAGATTTGCTTGATTACAAGGCCTGGCAAATATTCAGATTTCTGGGAGGTTTTTGGAGTTGAAAACACTTTTGAAATTGAATTGCACAGCACTATGAGGCAGTGGTATGTAAAAGTGTACTAAAGTACTCGGCGTAATATTATAACCACTTCGCCCGTTACATCGAAATCATGTTTTGTGCGCTAATTTACCGCCCATACAAGGCTAGACGCCATCATACTTCGTAAATTCACGAAAGCATTACGGCCAGTGTGAAGCTGATTTGACCTATTCTTCGGGCGGTCATATCGCACAACGCTATCAGACTTGTTCCAGTTAGCAGAGATGATCTAGCTAGTGACTTCCATCAAGGTGCACCACTATGTTTAAAAAAACGCTGGTGAAAGCTCACCTCCAGTGACCTAGAACTTCAAAAATTGTGGGGTTCTGAATTAACAGTTTAAGGATGGCGCAATGCGGATTGAATAAGAGATCGAATTCCAGTAGCCTGTTGAACAGTTTCCACATGGCCCCTTTTTGGTGGTAGGTTCCCAACGTTACATTCGACCACCTCACTAACGGCTAGTCTGCCAGGTCCCATTTCTCGTTATAAAAGAAACAGTTGCCTTAAGCTTATAGCTGCAATTATATTGGATTTCCTACATTCAGGATCACACCAGCTTTCTCCAGCTGCAAGCAAATTCATTACAGCGACTGTTTGATACACCAGATTAATTGTAATCCAGGCTTGGAGGGATACTAGGTACCGCCCTAACCAGTTAGAGAGGTTTTTCTGCATACAGTATGTTACACAATGAGAAATATTACTAGCTGACTCATCAACAGCATTTCTGGCGGTGGCCGTTTCATCCAAACGGTGTCTTCCGATTATGTAGTTTCTCACGCTTATTGTGGACTGTTTTGGTAAGCCTGCGTAACCAATGTAACCTGTGAGTCGCAATGGGTTCATGGATAGAAGCAGGCCCATTTTTACAGATTCCCTCGGACAGCTCAGTAGGATGTGACACCTTGTAAGGGAAGAATATGAGCTGACACATGCGTTCCCGAAAGATAGAATTAAGAATCGCGACCTGGTATAAATAGCAGAAGGCAATCTATATCTGTTGTTGCTCAAATTGCGCACCCACTTCGCCCAAACCCGATCCTGCCGAAGAACAGTTGAGGGTTAGCAGACATCAGGAAGAGTCGTTTGCTGTCATCATAATATGTTGACTTCAGACTGCACAGTTTCCCACGGTTACAGTATTTGTTTTCAGCACAAAAAACCTAGTATTTCATTGTTCCAGTGGAAATAGTTGACGTCTACCTAATCCGCGCAGGAAGATCACTTGATCTCGAGGGCTAAAGCCTGTGGCTCCAAACAGAGTGATTTCAGTCGATCCCGCAGGTGCTCACTTAAGGAGGCATTGATGAGAAAACATAAATACCGTATTCCAGTGTCATAATCGTAAGTGGCTGAACTATATCCAAGTGAGAATGAGAAGCTGTGTGGAACAGGGACTTGAAATAATAAATGTGAGCAATCGGATGCGCCCATAGAGTCTGGACTGTTGAAAACGGTGCAGTCAAACCGGACTATTCGTTAGAACGCTGATATTCGCGGCCCTATGAACTTCCAAAATGGTTCCACTGAAAATGGCTAGCTAAACCCCTTGAAAAACAATGGAACGACCCAAAGCGGTGGATAAACAAACAGATAAATGCCCCAAATAAAAATGAAAGCAATGACATAACATACCGTGTTCTTATATTGCCGCCATAACTCTGTGCATAACTGAAAGAACAGACAGAACAGAAATGGGTCAATTAAGCACAGTTCGAGGAGAAATAAAGCAAAATGGAGGAAAACATAAAGAGGTGAGAAGGGTTTGGAGAACATTTCGTGGAGACGTGCGAAAAAGACGACAACCTCGGTGAAAGGATATCATTTCGCTTTGAAATCGACTTCTATAGTAGGTCGGATTTATATGCATAACCCCGAGAATCTTTCCCAAAAAGCAGTTTACTCTATAGATTAATAAATCATCCATCTTAGGTACATTGGAACAAGAGCCACGGATACCTGACAAAGAAGCGCAGTATCTTCAACAGTCACGACTGCCAGCCAATACGCTAATCGATATATGAGAATGCACATTTAAATCAAAGGCGCTTGTATGCCGGGAGGCATGCTAACAAGATAAACTCTAGCAACCTTTATATAGAAACGGCTGTATGAATAAGCAAAACAATCACTGATGCTTAACTATGGGCTGCTAATCAGAGTAGACTGGTGCTCAAGAGTCAACCGTCGTTTACACTCGAAGCATTTAAAAAGGTTCATTGAAGATTATCGTCGTTGTAAAACATTTTTGCAGGAATACAAGTATGTTCAGGCGCTTCCATTCCGAAGAAAGCCATCCAACAGTAGCCAAAATTAATATTTGCTGAAAGCGACGACTAATCAAAACCCGTAGATGGTGGTACACTGACTGTGGTGAAGAACACTTGCTATCCATGCGGAAATCTATTTATCCACATCCGGCGAACGCAGATCGTCGTACAAAACAATCACATCAAACAGTCCTCAAGCGCGGTAAAATCTTGAGAAGTGGTAACGTTTCACAAAGCTTTTTGGTCACGCGAATTCTTCCATTGGATGTGTTCTAGTCGTAGGATTTTGTGCAATAAAGTGTAACATCGAATGATTTCGCGCTTGTGCAGGCACCTGGATAGAGAACACAACAAACTAGGTGCGCATTCGCGCACATTCAAGATCAGTGTAGCAAAGGGAGAAGTGAGCAACCTCATTCTCGACGAATTACCATATTCTATTTGAAAAACTCTCGGTTTTAGACAGATGAGTGGATGGTACTAATGCTGATAATTTTGGTCATCAGACGCGCATGGAAATAAGAAGTACCGTTTGATGTGCATGTGTGAACTCCTGTGATAAAGGGTGTGATACTAGCTTCATGACAAAAAAGACAACGAAGAGGTTATTTGTGCGGTAGAGAACAAAAGCGAATCAGATGTGAAGGTTTTCGTCTTCAAATATGACAGTCATGAGATATGTAGGGTGTGCTGGTGAACAAAAGTAGTGGTCCCACACGTGAAACCCTCGGATGAAATTCTGGTCACAAGTCGGTATATATGTACTGCTGATGGACACTGAAATGGGCGATGAACGAATTCAGTGTCTTCCATGGTGCAGGAGCTAACAGCATCTACTAATTCCGGAAAGAAAAATCAACCCGAAAAACAAGATCCCATAAAAGCATACAGTTTCAACCGTTTTAGGAATAAAAAGCTAAGTTATGGTAAAGTAGTGAGGAGTTGGGGAAGGTTAACCGGGAAAGTAAATAATTCCGGACAATTAAGGCACGTCCACGCTTTACTTACATGGGACTGGTGTCCTTGGAGACCACAACGCTCACACACGGACTGCTTCAAACGGCTCAACAGGGTACACGACTTCTTGGTATGACCGGGTGCTAGACAAGCAAAGCAGTACATGTTTTTGCAGTTTTCTTTCATGTGACCTTCGATGCCGCAGAATATGCAAACCACATCAGACTGAAGGGGCAGAACAAAAGTGGACATGTGATTGAATATGACAATTAACCTGTGAGTGACACAACGGAAGAGTATGTACACAATGGAAATGAATTCACTGCACTTTGTACTGAATAGCAACAGGTGCAGTTTGACCCGAGTTGCGGAGTAGCACACCACCTTCAACCTACGGTGGTGTTATATCAAAGGCTTAACTGAGCATAAACAATTGTTCGGTGGTAACGCTCTTCCGGAGCCCACCTGAAGGAAACACGAGAGCTGAGATAGTACCTAGTTCCCCAGGCTTAGACGGAAGCAGTCGAGATTCTGAGGTTGGGTTCGACCTACGGGCCTTCCGGTCACAAAGTTCGTACCGTAACCAGTAAGCTGTCTCGAGCATACAATGAGGATACAGTGACCCATAATAAACCGAACGATATACGGCGCTACCTCTTTATAACACCACTCGGGGTGAAAACTATACAAGGCTATAAAAACGTTTTCTTGTGGATACGTGTACGCAAATGAAGTTAACGAAAGTTAACAAAAATTAACAAAAGCACTGTGTGTTCCACCAAATTGTAGCCGCTACAAGAGAAAACCGATTGGCGGTCTCTCCAAAAACAAATGGAAGTAGACCGTTGCCGGCGGTGCCGTATCAAAACACCGCAGTCAAATGTTCCAATTCAGAAGAGTTATTCTGCAACGTGCATCCGGCTCAAAAAAATACCGGCGCTCTTTCGGCTAAGAAAAATATCTTTTGATCCAATTCAAGTATGATATTTGCAGCTTTTCCACTCAACAGTTTAAGCTATACCATTCGCTTTCTCAGGAAGTTTCTTAGCCAACAACACCTGCCTTTGAACTATGTGAATTCTACTTTGTTTTCGCAGCCACCCTCCAGTGATTGGATGTACTTTTTCGGAACCTGAAGAAGCATTGCTTCTGCCTCCGGTTGGGGACGTTTTTTTGTATGGAACACGTTTTTGCAGATACTCAAGCCCTTGTCACAAGGCTTTCTGATACGTTCGTTTCACGCAGTGCATTATACCTGACAATCACTAGCGCCAAATACGTCTACATGCTAAATTTGTCCCATACCACTAAGAAGCACAACCCTGACTGTTCTTGGATAGAACGCGGAACATGACGGTATCCGCTGTAAAATCACCTAATTTTCATGGAATGGGTTGACGAAATATCAGTTGCATTCAACCGCAAACTGACGATTAGTATCGCGTCTCACTTTGTCCTGGACAGCCGGAACTCAGCCAATTTTACCCCATGGGTGAAGTGAAATGAGGCCATGATCGTAGATGAAATCATTAACGATTCGTACAGTGGTTGTTCCTTTCCCATCCGTGTTAATCCATTTATGGTTACTAGGACACATAATTAGCACGCAAAAGATATGTTTGAATCGCCGAAACGCGTTTATTATTAGTTATAATAGACAAACTTCTGATAGACAGTAAGTACCGTGCTAAGAGAACAGATTTTGGAAAAGCACGTGGGGTGGTCAGCAAGTTTACTTGAACGCTGCTCGCGAAGCACTTCGTACATAAATTACTCGGGTCTAGAGAAGAACTACCAAGGTATTTCCTTCCTACTGCGGTTCACCGGACGCATGCGCACTAATTCGTTCCATTCTTGCTGAGCTAGGCAAGTGGTATGTCAAACAAGTATAGCATAATACAGCTAAAAGTAGTTGTTATTAGAACAATACAGCTAGCGAAGATTCTGTATTTTAAGTGAAACCTATCTGTACCGAAAGGCCAAGAAGTGACCATACTGCTGACCAGGAGACAGCGCGTTCGAGATTCTCTGACGTTTTGTGAGATGTCCACTGATGTAAGCGCTCCTCAGCTTTTCAGGGGAGACTGGCTTCATTTACAGGACTAAATCTCCATTAAAGTTCTCAAATCCCCTCAGACTACCAAAGCACCTAATGGAAAATTACAAGAAAATTCGAGTACGCAACTGGATTTACGACTTGAAACCGCGGATGATAACTTAGTTCCCATAAAACTGTTGGTTACTCACGCACTAACCCCCATGGGGACTGTAAGTTAGGCCCCAATCGCCCTAAACAGGATATGGCGCCATTCAGTCCTCAATAACGCTTATTTATTCCACAGGATTCGAATCTAGAGGAACCAAGCAACGAAAACCATACCAGAAAAATTGCTTCTCGATTTAGTTTCTTCGCTATGAACTAGAGACAACTCAGCGATTAGGCCGTGAAAGTCCGCAGTTGGATTACAACCCTAGTTTTCAGGTTGCTCCTGTCTTGGGAAAACCTGGCAGTGGCTCAGAAATGTACGGCAGTTATACATCGAAAGGGTGCCGCGGGTGAGTGATCATTATAAGTTTTATCACCATTATTGATTAACTTTTCCATCCCCTACACGCCTTTCAATGCTAACGTAATGAAAAGGCGCGCCGAGAATGAGCAACATTAAAATTGGCTAAAATTGGTTACGATGTAACTTACAATGCGACATTCAAATGTGAAGTGACCTCGCTTTCGACAGTTCGCGCAAACCGCGTTATGAAAGTCGTTGAAGTACCTCTTGTCATGCGACCCAGTGCGTGAACTGGAACGACGATCTTCTGCATTTATACGCCATAAATCAGGGTCGCTTCTACTCGAAGCCAGCTTACGAGCAATGTCCAGTGGATCTCCAGGATTGCACACAGACGAGACAGCCTGTCTTGACACACCCAGTACGACGTCATCAGGCGTCCAGTTCACATCTGCAGATGCGCCGGAAAGAGTTGTCGATACATGAGAATCGAAAGATTCCATGGTAATGGCCGACTCAGAATCACTTTCCTCAGTTGTTGCAGAATGTAAATCAGTCTGAAAATGCGAGCCATAGCCATCAGAATCGGAATCGTCTTTAAACTGTGATATGTTAAGCGGTAGAAATTGATCGCGTGAGGAGTCTACTGAACTCGTTTTCACGCTGGTCTCCGATTCACCAGAATCCTTGTTCATGGTAGCCGCTTCTTTAGAGCAACCAGTGAAGAACATATCATCCAGTTCTGCCCCGATTTTCGGCACTGATTCGAAGAATACTGCACTGTACATGCTGTGCTCAATCTCTTCATCAATGCTGTCGCTGTCATACCCAATTCCATCAACTTCTTCACTTTCCATTTGGTCTGAAAGGGAGTAAAGTTCAACAGGGTCTCATGGCAACAGGCTAACAAAACGGTATGGACACCATGATCGGACAGCTGCAATAGCGGTAAGACCATCATCATGATTTCTATCATTGGCAACGAACCACCAATTCACAACCATGCCAATCAAATATTATGATTGAAGGCAAACATGAAACAGGGATGGGGACTTGCAGTTAGACTAAAATAAACATCCAAGGTTTCTACACTCCTAAAACCCAACCAGAAATAGGATAGAAACTGATGGCATGAACGCCGCTGACATCCGCTGGCTGTCAAATCGTTCATCGTCACTAGGCAAGCAGAGAGGTCACGTGGACGCCATCCTGAAAGGCGAACAGGACCAACAGCACACAAACTTTACCTAACATCATTACCTTCTGCTATGTCAAACTCTATCCACCTCCAAGTTTGCATCGCCCAGAATAAGGAACCTAAAACAATATTATTCCCGGCATGCGCAACACAGCCCAGCCACCTTAAATTAGGGTAATGGATGCACTCTCTGAGCGAAGTACTTTCTGCTTCACATAAGACCCATTGCCTGACCATCTCATTCAGAACTCGCCGGTTCCAGTCGATTCCAGTTTTAGTAACAAAACATCGATGGTCAAAGACCTGAAAACGACTCATACCCTCCACTCGAAGTGACCAAGTCTGACAGTTATACAACAATGCAGACCGCACTTTAGCCTGATGCAGGCATCCTTTGAGACACAGTGATGTTCTTTTGATGCCACAGGTGACTGGAAAACGTAATTATGACCCTTGAGATTCGTGTGTACACTTCGCCTGTCATACTAAGTGATGGAACTGCTGAAACGCCAGTGTTTCACAACCCCATTGTCACTTACTAAATTCTCAGAAGCACGTTCAAATACTGTACGTCCTGAAACACGAATATGGATTTCGTGGGCGCATAGAGCATGCCAAAGAACTGCACGGTTTCGATCAGCTTTCCTAGCAGCGTCTGGGCACCTTGAAAGTTTTCAAAAATGCAACACAATTTTATCTTCAGACTCATCATCCTCAACTACGAAAACAGGATACAGGTTATGCAGTGGCTATGACTGCCACAGTTTCGTTCGCCAATGATCTGGGGAGATATGGGAGGCTATGCGTTGGAGGCACATTTTAATATGAAACAAGTCCAGTGTATAAGCAAGAGCAATCCGTTGACCTGCTGTCATGATTTTTGTGTGCTTATTCTTATACTTACCACATATACTCGTACTGAACCTTTGTATGTACATTTCAGCTCATGTACGCTTGTTCTTAGACAAGTAAAACGTTGCTTATCCTCGAAAACCTGGACTCTGTTCTAACTCGTTCTCGGACTCATTCTGAACGTCTCAATTTACTTGTCTAAGAACACAATGGACCCGCAACTACGACCTCGGTTCTTCGACGCTGACCCAAACTCCGCAGATGCAGCAAAACGCTGGAATCACTGGTTCCGTACCTTCGAAACCTATCTGAAAACTGTCGAATCTTCTAAACCCGACAAACTTGAAACTCTCATCCACTTTGTGGATCCATTAGTATACGATCACATTGCTGATCACACCGACTATGAATCTGCAATCGCCACGTTACGGAAATTATATGTCCGTCCAAAAAATGTCATATATGCACGCTACCTGCTACAGACCTACAAACAGGAGAGTGGACAAGATATCGATCAGTTCGTACAAAAACTGAAATCATTAGCCAAAGACTGTGAGTTTAAATCTGTGTCTGCAACTGAATATCAAGATGAGTGCGTGCGTGATGCTATAATTAATGGCCTGGCGTCCACATCCATCCGCGAGAAGCTTCTAGCACAAAGCGAACTCACTCTGGACCAAACATATCAGCTGGCTAGATCCCTCGAATTGGCTCACAAACAGTCACAGTCATATGTTAGTAACGAACCCATATCTTGCTCTACGATTCCACCCATTTCACAGAATCCCGAACTGCGTGTTGATCCCACCACTGCTGCTGTAAAATCCATTCAGACATGTTATTTCTGCGGTTATGATGCACATCCTCGTCCAAAGTGCCCCGCTCGCGAAGCCGTCTGCAATCTTTGTGGTAAACGCGGTCACTTCCGCCGCGTGTGCCGTTCAAAAAATACCTCCAAGTTCCACACAAGTTGTACAACAAAGCCTACTTTATCGTCATTATTCGTTGCAGCAGCTCCTACCTGCCTGGCGCATGCCGTCGCAACTATCGAAGTCAATGGCATCACTCTCCGTGCTCTGGTCGACACAGGGAGTTCTTGCAGTTTCATTTACGCTAAGGTCGTGAAACTGCATAATTGGAAGATTTACCCAGCTTTCTCAGTCGTCACAATGGCGTCTACATCCCTATCCTGTCAAACGACTGGTTATGCTTGTGTTCTGTCCGATACAAAGATACCTCATACAATGAACTGAAGCTCTTTCTAATACCAAACCTCTGAACCGACGTTTTACTCGGGCGTGACTTTCTAGGTCTACATGGCAAGGTAGAAATTCCATTCGGCGGAGATCGTGATGCGCTCACCACCTGCGGCCTGACGGCTGTAAACGTTAAATCACCATCACTTTTCGCCAACTTGTTTCCAGATTGCAAGCCTGTTACAACCAAATCAAGAAGGCATCATCCGGATGATGAAAAATTCATTCGCGCCGAAGTTGACCGCTTATTGCAAGAAGGCATCATCGAACCGTCAACGTCTCCGTGGAGAGCGCAGGTTTTGATTACCAAGGGTATCAATCACAAACGCCGGATGGTTGTTGACTACAGCCAAACTATCAACCGGTTCACATAACTGGACGCTTACCCTCTGCCGCGCTTGGACAAAATGACTGAGGAAATTTCGCAATACGAGGTCTATAGTACATTAGACCTCTTGTCTGCTTACCATCAAGTCCCCATCTCTGCATCTGACAAACGTTTTACAGCATTCGAAGCACGTGATGGCCTGTTTCATTTTTGTCGCATACCCTTCGGGGTCACAAACGGTGTTGCGTGTTTTCAGCGAACTATTAACAATATCCTTACGACTGAAAAGATGAAAAGCACATCCCTGAACGCATGAACCCATCCGTCAGTTACCTCTTCCGCGTACTACCACGGAAATGCAACGTATCATCGGTATGTTTGCATATTATGCTCATTGGATATCCTCATTTTCCGACAAAATCAACAAACTGGTAAAGAATAAAACATTCCCTCTACCTGCCGACGTCGAGTTGGCCTTCGACAACCTAAAGAACGAACTAGAAAATGCTACACTAATCACAATAGATTATAACGAGCCTCTGGTTGTTGAAACGGATGCCTCCGATGTGGCTATAGCCGCGTCCCTAAGCCAAAACCGTCGGCCGGTAGCCTTTTTCTCGAGGACACTCAATCCGAGCGAGAAGAATCATTCTGCCATCGAGAAGGAGGCCTACGCTATCGTTGAATCCATCCGGAAATGGCGGCATTATCTACTCGGAAGACCCTTCAAACTGATCACCGATCAGCGTTCAGTCTCATTCATGTACGGCGGTGGACAGAAGGGTAAAGTGAAAAACGACAAGATACAACGATGGAGGATTGAGCTGTCCGAGTACAAATATGATGTCATATACCGACCTGGCAAGGACAATCATGTCGCCGACACTCTGTCACGAAACGTATGTGCTTCCATGGGGAGCAATAACCAACTCGGAGAGCTCCATAACTCCCTCTGCCATCCAGGCATTACCCGTATGTTTCATTTTGTGCGTTGCAAGAATCTCCCCTACTCCGTCGACGATGTCAAGCGCGTCATTTCCTCCTGCAAAGTGTGTGCTGAACTGAAGCCAAGATTTTGGAAATCCTCTGGTAGACTCATTAAAGCAACACAACCTTTTGAACGTCTGAGTTTGGATTTTAAAGGTCCTTTGCCATCTAATACACGCAACCGCTACTTACTCACTATAATTGACGAGTTCTCTAGATTCCCATTTGCATTTGCGTGTGCGGATATGACCTCGGCAACTGTGATTGACTGTCTCACACAAATCTTCTGTCTGTTCGGAATGCCAGCCTATATCCATTCCGACAGAGGCTCATCGTTCATGTCGTCTGAGATCAATAGCTTTCTTCTGGAGAAAGGTGTTGCTATGAGTCATACATCAGCTTATAATCCACAGTGTAACGGTCAAGTTGAGCGTCTCAACGGTACTCTCTGGAAAACAATAAGCTTAGCGCTGAAATCTCACAATCTCCCGCCTTCCCGTTGGGAATCAGTACTCCCTGATGCTCTACACAGCCTCCGATCATTGTTATGTACAGCCACTAACTGTACTCCACACGAACGTTTGTTCCAATACGCACGTCGCTCAACATTTGGAATATCGTTGCCATCTTGGTTGACCACCCCTGGTCCAGTTCTGCTACAACGAGGTGGTAGGTCATCCAAGTAGAAGAAGTTGACCTTCTCAACTGCAACCCACACTACGCACACATTACTCATCGAGATGGAAGAGCCGAAACCGTGTCCCTTCGCCGTCTAGCCCCAGCAGTTCAGAATACAACTGACAATGTTCTCAATCTGTCTGAATCCAACGAGGATACCGAACTCCCAGATACGACTGAACTAACCGGACGTCAGCCCGATAGCTCTCAAGCATCTGAATCTTCTTCGGTACCGTCCTCCGAATACCAACCGAGTTATCCTGGAATTCTAGAACAACAGCGACGCATTCATCCTTACAGTTTGAGGAACAGAGAAATTGATTCAGTACATCACCTCCCGTCTACGTCAGTTCATATGTGCCTATTCAAACACTGTCGGGGTGAATGTCATGATTTTTGTGTGCTTATTCTTATACTTACCACATATACTCGTACTGAACCTTTGTTTGTACATTTCAGCTCATGTACGCTTGTTCTTAGACAAGTAAAACGTTGCTTATCCTCGAAAACCTGGACTCTGTTCTAACTCGTTCTCGGACTCATTTTGAACGTCTCACCTGCATGATCCAGAGTGGTGGCCTTGAAGTGTG